TTTTCCATCTCCAGGGAAGACTGTGCAAGATTCTGACTGGAATCTGCTACATCCCAGGTCCTGGAAGACTGTAAGGAGACACTCATTCCAATGACTTGCAGGGGGATGAATGAACTAGAGTAGTCCTACACTTACTTCAAGTTTAGTGATCTGTATTCAGTTTTACGCCAAAGAGAACATGATCCAAATTCCAGATTACACCTTCTTTGAAGGCAGAGACAACTTATTCACGTTCCCTCAGACAAAAACTACAAAGGAACAAAAATTAAAGGAAAATGGAATCTAAGCTAAATGGAAGGCTAGGAGAAAAGACAGCATCACTCAAAGAGCTGTGCTATCAGAGTTGGCTACTGTGGGGACTTCCCATGTTAAAGCGATGAGCTTAACTCTGGGAGAAAAAGCCTGAATGAGTTTCCTTTGAAAAATATAACCTTGGCTTCTGTTGTCTTTACTACCAGCCAGTTCTCGTGTTACTCTGTTCACTTGTGAGAGTACCTCTACCATTGTATAAGCAGTTGCCCAAATCCACTTTACCAGGGTCCATGCACTGAAAAGCTGACTAAACCAAAAGTTTGAAGTAACAGCCAGTCCTCGTTTTAACTGTCCAAAGAGACCAAGTATTTAAGGAGCAGGCAGAGCATTTTCCAGGGAATAGCTGGTTGGCATCACTATCCCTTGAAGATAAAAACGATCTCAAAGACAGAGAATCATTATATGCGTATTACTGGCTCCACGCGGGAGCACTTAAGTATGTGCCTATATCTCAGGCTAGTGACCGAATCTTAGTTCTTCCCTATTGCTAGTGAAAGGACACGCAATTTACTATCCTTCCAAATCAAGTGGGACTGCACCTCTCATCTCTCCAGGCTCCTGGATGGACTGCTGTCTATTTGAGAGCTATTAAGGCTGCCTGGTTTAAACAGCTGTTCTCACCTGTGTGTGCTCCGTGAAGAAGTCAGCATCGCTCTTGTCAGGGGAATGCCCAGGGGCTCCACTCAGTCCATCTATTAGCAGCTGAAAAGAAAAGAGGAAAGGAGATATCCTGCAAGACTCAGCACCCAGCACTACACGTCTGTAACAGTACAGAGTTGCCCAGACTTACATCGGTGCCATACTTGGCCATAGCAGCACTTGCCAGCTGCTGGATCTTCTCCCTGTACATCTGGGCAGCTCGACTATTATACTTCGCATTGGCGTCTGTGGTAGTGCAGCCATGCTGACGGAAGAAAGCAGTCTGAAAAAGAGAAAAATATTCAGTCTCCTGCCTGCTGTATCAAACTCAAGCAAGCATCAAACATAAAACAACCTGAACTCAACAGAAAAAGGAAACTTCCCAGAGACAGAGGATATAACACTAAGCGTGGGGCATGACCCATTCATTGATCAGCTCAGCTTTCACCAGGAACTCACTTTATGGGCCTCAAAGGGCTGAGAAAACAATCCCTGTCCATCACAGGGAGATGCTTCTGAGTCACAGGGCTGAGCATGAACTTTCAAACTGATTAATATTACTAACTCCTTTCATTTAAGAGGACTATGTTTCTCATTTAAATGAGATATAAGGAAGTGACAGCTCTGCATATCAGAAGTACATTCATAAAGGTCACAGGCTGACTTCTAAGTACAGCTGACAGATGTCTCTCCTCATTACGCATCTCCAAAAAAAGAAGGGGCAGTCAATACCCTTTGGGACCAGGAAAGCCTCACAAAGGACAGGGCCAAGAACCAGAGGATGCCACTTAGCAAGGAGTAAAGCGAGCAAAATGCCTACAGAGGCTCCTCACCGCATTGGCATTGCTGCCCACTTGCATACATCTCAGCTGGAACCAGTTCCAATTAGAATCCAGCTCTGTAGACCTGTGCAAGAACAAATTATTTCCATTAATAACATGCAGACATCCCAAATGCAAAAGCATGCTCTCGGCTAGTATGGCAAAGCATGCCACTGCTCTTCCATCAGAGTAGAAGAGGTAAAGTTAACATCTCAGTAATTCCTTTGTTTCTTTTTCCCGTAATTAATTAAGTTGAACTTTTTAAGTTATCAAAAATCAGCTTGAGCTTCATACCAGAACATAACGTCAAAACATAATGTCAAAATTAAAAGGGTCTCTCACTGGCATTGCTTCTTAAGAGAATGAGGCTTGAGCTAGGAAAGCAAAACCAGCAGCTTTCATTCCACGGGTGCTCTCACCACAACATGAAAAACTCATATTTAGCCTATCCCAGTAACGGCAGCAGAACACAGTATAGAACAACCGAGAAAATGATAACATAAAGTCATATGACAAAACATGCCTCACACCAGTTACTCAACTTATCTCTGAGCAAGTAAAGACCAAAGTCCTCCTACCTAAGATACAAACACTTACAAGTACTCCAACTAAGAAAACATAAGCTCAAAATCCAAGACTACCTTACCCAGTAGACTGATACAGAAAAAGCTTCCTTTGTTTAGCATTACAAGAAAAAACTCTCCCATTGCTTTACCACAGAGATTCATGCACCACACACTCTCCTTCCACCTTCCACAAACGGGAACCCAAATAACACTTCTGCAGGATCTGTGAAAGTAACACTTTGATGTTCTACTGGCTATTCCACTGGGTGCTTTGGAAACTCCGCCTTGAAAAGGCTGAGTCATCTAAAACTTGTTTTGAGCAAGCCAAGCAAAACCCAAAGCGATTGCATCGGTGATGCGCCTTCCCTTTAGCTGAATCCCCGTGTGCTCCCACCACGCCGGCACAGTTGCCCCGGGCCTACCCGGCGCTGACCACAGGCCGCAGCCTGTTCCCCCGCCGCTGCCCGCCCGCTCTCCTCCCGGGCCGTACGCACCTGATGAAGCTGAGGC